CACGTCGCGAGTTCAAGCAACACAAAAGCGCGACGGACAGCGTGAAAATGACGCGTGAGAGGACAAAATAACAAGACAGGAATGATATACAGAGCGTTTCAGGTTCCTTCTCTCCGTCTACGAATCCTTCTTACAGAGACGACAAATTCGGATAGATTTTCCACGGCAAAGCCTTCGAGATTCGTCATCTCTTTGAGGTGTTCCGTAGATAAGCTAGGGATGAATCTGAGGCACACTGCAGAGGCGTGGATGATGAACAATGCTGAGGAGAGATGGGTAAAGCTACTTGGCACAGCCTACATCGAAGCACCGACCGTGAAGAATCTTATGAGGAGTGGCTTATCGCTGGGTCGAGTAGACTCGCCGGTGGCTTCACTTTCAATTATTACCGCCTCTCGGGTCTCGATATCGCGTGTGTGCGAGTTCGCGGGGGTCTCGCGTAGCAAACCCGGGATGCTCTCTAAAGCACACCGTGAAAAATGATTACGAGCACGGAGAAAATGTCACGAAGAGAAATGCCCGGATATCGGCGAAATGACCCCGATATATATATATATCTCGATACACGCGTCCGAGTCACTTCAACACCCCGCGCGTCGTGTGTCTAACAACGACAGCATGTGACAATTACGAGAACGACCAGCCCCGTTTATCGAGTGTCGCGAGATAATTTTTGACTTTGTACTATCAATTCTGTCCAGACTCGGAGCTCCGTTTAGTAAGCACACGTTCACCAGGTTCGCGGCTCGGCGTTCACTGTTCGGCCGATCGACCCATTCATCATCGTCGGCGCACGGTCGTACCACGGGTTCTTCCCCCGATTTTCAGGGGAAGAATTCGTCGATCGATCGACGATCTCGCGCTTCTCCGGCTCTCGCGACCCCCCAACGAGCAGCTGCTGCCGCGACCTATCTCACGCGTCTCGTCGTGGCTGACGACTCGGACAACGCGATCGCGAACGAAGAGATCGCGAAGGTACAAGGCGGACCCGGACGATCTTCACGACCCCCGCGGGCGTATCTTCACGATCGGTGATCCATGAAACAGCTCCTGGACGGGCGAGAGCACCCGACGACCTGGCGAAACAGGCGACTTCTCGATTCAGGCACCCTTGTTCCCGGACGGCAAACGATCGCGGTCACTCGCGGATGTGTCGACGTCGGTACCACTCGCTGGTACTACTCGATGTTCTGTCATGATTTTGTGTGAAAACCTGATGAAGGGAGAGTACGCGTAGCCGTCGTCCGACGCGCGTCTCTCTCTCTCTCTCTCTCTCTCTCTCTCTCTCTCAAGCTAGAGTAGAGTTGTTAAGCGGAAGGCACGGAAGGCGCGACGTTGAATTGATCGGTCCTGCCTGCGGGAGCTCGAGGACGTGTCGAAAGGACGTGTTATCACCGTTTACATGTGCGATCTTCCTTCGCCGAGGATGTGGACGGAGTGACGGCGGAACTACCTGGCAGGCAGAACGGGGGACACTGCGACACTGACCGGAGCGCCGTATAACGGGAGGGCCGTGAATCTCGGGCCGCGTCCCTCTCTTGCCTTCTCGTTCCTGCACGCGTGCGCCCCGATAAGTCGCTCTTCCTCTTGCCGCCGTTCAGGGCAACTCGCCAGGGAAACTCTCGCCTCTCCTCCGTCCACCGGACGATCGACGTGCATCCGTACTTCCGGCACGTCTTTATTCCGGTACTGGCATCGCCGGATGCCACTTTGGACGCGGTCTTCCTCTGTTTTGTCCGTCCTCCCTTGTTTCAGCTCCGCTGGCTCGTGCCAACGGCTGACCGGATGACTGAATATCCGAGAAAGTCCCGTCGTCGTCGAGATTCTCGGTACTAGCATGAGTGGGCTTTAATTGGCCACGTTGACAGGTCGCCGAGTTGATGACAGCTCTTGATGTTTTCGTGAGCGGCGATCAATAAAAGAGGCGGCTCGCCACCACCAGGACTGTTGTCGAGTCCCGACCTCTGTACGTCATTATATTGTAATCGTTTATTGATTAGCAGTTTTGTGTATCAATCGGTCGATTTAGAGGCTTCGTCTCGCCTCGAGGTCATCCTTACAATCGTTCCAACCGCGAGACTTGTACGACACAGATTTATCGTGGGCGCGTCACGCACTGTCTCGGCACGTTCAGCCATCAATTACCGCTACTAATGAGTCGCGCCAATTGTATCTTCTCGTTTACTCCCTCCGTAATTTCCTTCATGACGTTACTTTGACTGGCATTAAAACGAAAAATATCGCGACTGCTTAGGCAGCGAGGGGTATCGAGGATCTGCCACGGAATAAGAACGTGAGCTGGGAATAGCGTTCGACGCTATTAATTATCTGCTGCTTACACCACGCGACGCAGCTGCTCCATCTTCGCGCACAACGTTCCCAGAACGTTGCGAAAGCTCGCACTTTGCCGTCGAACGAGAGCTTGCGCGATCCTATTTTCGACTCCAAATTCACGCGTTTTTCCGCGACGCGTGTTGCCCGATGAAAGCGACACGAGAGCAGCTGCATCGCGTTCCTGTCATGCCAGTTATTCTCGAGCAAGAGTCAGGATATCGTGACGAACGCGTCAAACGTCTGGAGGGAATTGTCCGCGACTTGACGGCGCTCGCAACATTTTGTCGTAACACAAACGACAACGCATTGTCGCACCGTGCTGCGACAGGACGGGCGAAGGGAAAAAACGGAGTTTACGACGTGGACAGCTCGCAAACAAAACGCCAACGGGGAAAAACCCGTCGGCGCACGCCGCCGAGGAAATTGATTTATTGGCGCCGATATAATTATTACAGCAACAGCCGAGAGCATGTGATAAAAATCCCTGCAATGTTGCAGTATCGGTTATCGATATCGGTGGTTCGGTGGCCATTCTGATTTTATATAAATAACCGAGAACGGCGAGAGAGAGACGTTTTCTCTCCGCCGTCGAAGCTCCGGACGGCGACCAGCCGCTGTCGGCCGCAACTGAAATCGTGCGCTAGTTGGACGAACGACGTCCATAATTTAAACGTGGTGGTTTGGAATAACGCGACCCCAAAATAATGATCAAAGTTACGAGTCACACGACGCTGAAATACACGAGATACGTGTTTGTAGTCGCCGCGACTTCTTGGAATTCCGCAGAGTCTGTCAAGTAAATTGCATTTGCATATTGCGCCATCCGCGAGAGCGATTTGCAGTTCGCAAAATATAATTGCGAGACAAGCAACACAATTGTTGTGTGCATATGACACGATATATTGAATTGCGAGAGCGCGAGAGTGGCAACGCGTATGCAGAGTGTTCCAATGTTCGACACGACTGCAATTCCGCAAAAGCTGATCGACCTGAAAGTATTCGTGCGCTATCATTGTCGCTAGACACCGCTCCGGTATTTGTCTGCGGGTGTTTGGAAAGTCAGTACAACGAATCGGACAATCGATCATACAGCACGCTAGTAAAATTGTCTTTCCGCGAATAAAGTATCGCCTCGCCTGGGCGTCGTTGTTGTTACGCGACGGAATATTGGGGCATGTTAAAGTGCAGTCTACTGTGTAACATTGCGACTGACAGAGGAAGAATTATCTCGATATAAAATCAGGAAGACGCCACGAAAAGCTCGACACGGATAATTCTTGGTGTGACGCCACTTGGCACGGCTTTGTTTCCAATTTCTTTTTCTTTTTTTTTTTTTAATGCTTCGCGTCACCGTGATTCGGGCTCTTCAACAGAGCGGCACCAGTGACATTAGTACAAACGAGACGAGTCTCGATTAGCGAGACGTTATTATCCCGACGCGACATGTTCAGCCGGATTTATTAGGCTCAGTAGGATCCGCAATTTCACGCTTCGCCGATAATATTAATTGGACAAATCCCGACGGCCTCTTTTTCCTCTCTTCGAGTCCGCGAGTTTTTCGCCCCGGAGCCATCCGAGCAGTCAGCCGTTTGTAAAATCAACGTCATTTTACGAGAATCTCACGTTGCGGGAGATTTCCGCCTACGAGACTGCGGCGCAGTCGGATTGGCGCCAGTCAGGGCCGTATTAATGTAAGGCAGTGTGTTAAATGTACACCCGTATGCAAACAACGCCTCTCACTCCCGTATCGTCCCGCTAAATATTTGAAGGCTTGCTGACCTCGTCGCATTTCTCGCATGTGCAGCGACACGTGCTAAACCCGAGACGAGAAGAAATAGCATCTTGCTAAAAACGGAAGCTCTGTTTGTCCTTTCCACCTCGCTCGCCCGTTGCAGACTCACATCGGCAAGAAAAATATTGATGGAAGTTTCAGCAAGAAAAGTATTCTTGCGTACTTTGTAAAAAGATTAACGAGCGCTAATTCAAACAGCAAAAACAGTTGCGTGGTACGAATTATCGGTTTCGCGTGATTGGCGTTTGATTTATTACACAAGTAAATCTCTCTGTTACGCCGAGAAAATAGAGACTATATGGCTGAAACGGATCGGTCCAATTTCTTATCGGATCGATTTGCTTCTTGAGTAAAAGAAACGCATAAATCGTGTCCGGAATAGTCTCATTAGAGTTCCGAAACATTAGAGTTCCGTTAATCTGACGACGAAGCGAGTGTCTTTCGTGACGAAAGCGCGTTTCAGCTGGCCGGCATCAGCAAACGAGATTTAACTTCTCGACTAACTCTATGTTTAATTCACGAAACCGAATTGCTCCGGGCGGGCGAAAGAACCTTTGATCCGTTAAGGTGCGGCGGTCGCTTTCATTTCCGGAAAACAGACTCGCTCCAATTTCAATTAGTGTCGGATAAATATGTCGCCGTGGCGCTTTTAATTTCCTGTTCCAAGAACTCCCCTAGAACATCGTTAACATCGCCAAGGGAGCATCTAACTTTTAATGTCCAAAACAATTCCGCGAGTGTTACGCGGGGGTGATCCAACGAAGAATGGAATTCTCCCTTGATAACACCTCGCGCGACGACTTAACAGAAACACCAACGTCGCGGCTCCCACTAACGTAACTCACTAATTGCGACATGCAAATATGCCACTCACCTGAGCGACTTTCTCTCCCATGTTCGGTGTGTGCATCGCTCCTTGAAAATACTTCGCGGATCCATTGTCTTGTAAGGAAAACTGCAACGTGACGTAAATCACGCGTTAGCGCGGTGTTAATTATCGATAATCGATGAATAAATCGATAGGATAATTAACCGCGCTGCTTGAGAGAAATATATACTGAGAAAAAAATTTACTAAATTGCAAAAAACGTTTGTTTGGGTAGGACTGTAAACACATATTTGTTTAACTTAAATAATTATTTACTAAAATCAGAGAAAAAAATTTATGTTTAAAATTTCCTTATTTAATTTTAGAAAATAATTAATTTAAACAAATATGTTCACAGTCGTATCCAAACAAACATTTTTTGAAATTCAGTAAATTTTTTTCTCAGGGTAGTCCGCATTTCAAAGTAAACAATTTTACTGACGATCGATAACGATCATCTTTGTTTTCATTTTTTTTCCGTTATGTTAAAAAGTAACGATCACCTGAGACAAAGAGAATAAAAGCCGCACACGTGGATGACTTTTGTGCAAGAGTGTTTTTCGATTTGACTTACTTTGTGTTTGATGGAGTCCGGTCCCATTTGACTCAGAGATGGCGACTTGCGGTCCTTGGACGCTCGCCATTTCTGCAAGTCGCTTTCAGAAGCGACGCCAGGAAAGATTTTCGAATGTTTCGCTGCTACAAAAACGAAGGACAAATGTGAGTCTCTCCAGATCGCGTCATTTGCGAGACAATATAATGATATATCCCGTTATTTATGTGTATATATATATATACCTAAATAGATTTTG